TAGCATTAGGTTTGCTACCAAACAGCAATAAGAGATTGCTGCTTGCCAGAGATTAAAATAGAATGGGAAGCTATCTCATTCTGGTTGCTGTCATTAAGGAATCAATGCCTATGGATGATTTAGAATTTTCAATACGTGCACGTGTGCAGTTTTCCAGGGAGAAGTCTGACTGCCATGATAAGAAAAAATAATTCTATGAGATTTAATTCCTTCTGCTATGAAGGGATTCAGGCTAGATGATAATTGCCTTCTCTGTCTTCAAAGTCCATGAGAACATGGAGTACAGAATATTTCTTTGGAAAGATGCTCTCACTCCGCAAAAGAATACATATGTAAAGCTAGGACTGACTCAGCTCCACTCTCCTGCTGCTATATGTTATAATCGAGATATCATTTAGTTTTAACCTTGGTATGAAGACTCCTGTTTGGTCCAGCTGCTTCCAAAGGAGAACATTGGGCCAGGACCTGCAGCACACAGGATCGTGCATGCAGATCTATAACCCACATATAGCCAGGGCCTTTTCATACCTAAGCTCATTTTGGTATTTCATGCTACTCCATAGCTTGAAGTTTCATTTACAGCTTACTTTACAGTTCTAGGTATATGTCAGAGCAGGGTCCAAAGCAGCCAGCACACTGTGCTAACATTAATGAACAGGAAATACTGGAATAAGAGCATCTGGAATCCAGATCCTTTCACAAGGCTCAGACACCACACTAAGATCCAAGGTCTAGAACCTTTCCTCATACGTAAGAGCCAACAACCTTCTTTTCAGAGAACTGAGCAGAGCTTCTTAAAAAATAATAATGTAACAGTGACAGCAATGATGATGATGACGTTCTGAATACGCGAGTCTCATGTTTGCTGCACTTGCACAGAAAATGGAAATCCAGGATTTAAACCCACACCATCCAGGATAATGCTTCAGCTCCAAGGCCAGCAGGAGACTGGCTCCCGCCAAACCAAAATTCAGCAAAATTTCAGAAATCCTTAGGCCAAAAAGAAGCATTACTATAGCATAGTCATTATAACACTCCTCTTGTACAGAGAGTTTCAGCATTTTACAATCAACAGTTAGTGGTAAAATACAGAAATGGCCCTGAGCCCAAGTACCCAAAACCCAGATCTCCTTGCTGCTGCGTGGGTGCCATGATCACTAAGTTTCATTTGTTCTCATGCTAGTTCACTGAACCTTCAAGACCTTTCTCTAATAGCGGCACCACTTCACACAGACTGGGTAGAGCGTGCTCGGAGTACCTTATGACCCATCCCAAAACAACCCACAGATGTCTCCCTCTCAAAGCATGGCTCTGAATCCCTCTCTGGCAGAATAGGGGCTTGAATCTCTATCTCCCACTTCTTTGAGAAGTACACTCACCACCATACTGGCAGTAAGAAAGAAGTGGACTTCACTGTCTCCTACCTGACTTCTAACTGCTAGAAGCACTGTATTCTGTGAGAAACCTGGCGTGTTCAAATATAACTTCCAGAATAATCTCTTCCAAAGGAACACTCACCTTCCAGATACCCCATAGGCTGAGATGCAAGGTGGTACCACATCCTGCAGAAGTTTGGACAGCCTCCGCCTTTTAACGCACAGAACTCCTAGGGGTAAAAACAAGTTTAATCTCATGTAAACTTTAGGTGCCAGACCTCAACAGCATTTCAGTAACACTGTTCTAGGCTTGCACAAGTGCATCCCACCTAAAGTCCGTCTCCGCAGAGTGGGTCTTTTGCTCTTTTCCTGCTGGGAAGAGACACGCTGCTAAGCCCGCAGTTCTCCTTGCTAAACCACTGCTCCCACCTAGTGGCAGGAGCTCTGCCGGGTCCCCGGCCTCTGCCGGGATTTCCCCCCCCTTGCCAATTCAGCACCTCCCCTTTCACACAAGGGAAAGCGCACTGACTGAACTGCTAATCAGTCAGTAAAAGTTAGAGAAGGGAAATTCTCTCTCTAGAAGCTGTACTGATGTTGTCTTTGAGCTCCAAAATTCACAAGTGAAGGGTAGAGAAACAGCAGAGTTATGCGCGTCAAAAAAAGTCACATTTATACGTGATTCAAAACTTGAAACCAACTTCACCTAGAATTAAATTCATCCCTATAAAATTTTTATTTTAGGCTACATTCATATTTGTAATGATGTTGCTGTTGAAAATTTACAGAAAGAAGCACGCTTGCTTCGTTCTTAACCAAAAAGGCTGAAAGTGATAAGCTGAACTATTTTTTACCGTTTTGTTGCAAGAAATTCATTTTGTCCTTCTTCCCAAAGGAAGATAAATGTTTGACAAACAATTTGTCTGCTTCTGAAGATCTCAGTTTTTAAGAAGGAAAAATTGTAAGAAGTTTTAAATTATATTTTTCAATCTGATAGCTAAAGCGTTACATCTTAATGGGAAAAATTCCACTGTTGCTGTATCTGAACACAGACCCGTTCCAAATACTGCAGCTTTAACTAAGGTCCAAGTTCATCATAACAGGATTTCTTCTTAGGTGATTTTAGTAGTAAAGAAGAGGGCAATAATAAGCATATGCTAAATTTTGTCATCACCTACCTCTACAAATATATAATGAAACTTATAGTATGCCCCATATCAATTTTTAGATGAGTAATCAAATTTTAGTTGAATAATTTAGTATGTAGTGCCTGAACACTAAACTTAGTGAAGATCAGTTTCTTATTAGTCTATGTTTTGGAATTTGCAGTTGACCACCTAAGGCTTAATCTTGAGTAGCTTTGAAGGATTTATAACACCACTTCCCTGGTGCTTAGTAACACGTGAGCTCATACAGCAACCCTTACGCCTAAGCCCACATGAAACGTTTAAGAATTCACTCATGAAACCTTTTAACACCCTACTCCTCCTTCCAAATTCATTTGAAATGGACCAAAAGGTTCCAAGATTAGTTGACGAGACAGAATGAAGAGAGGAAAACAATCACATGAAATGCAATAACAAACTTCTGAAGTTTCTATAGAAAACTAATTAAAATAGAGACTTCCAGCCCAGCTAAATTCCTTTGAAATCATTTCCTGCACTGAGTGCTATAAGAGCCCTCCTCCCTGCCTAAGAGCTTTGTTACATGAAATTCCAGTTAAGGTGAAAAAACTCCTAAAAGGAAGAGTTTGACCTTCCTCTTCACGTGATAGGATGCAAGAGTGATGCTTCTGAACTTGATTCCCAAAACACAAAACAGACACAAGAAGACTCCGTACTTGGTGATGTAGCAGGCTTAAGATTCAAAAGAGCCCACCCTGATCAGTTCCCACTTGCATAGTTTCACTGTGGTCTTGGGTAAATCAGAGATGGCAGACACCTCAAAAAAATTCAGCAAGTTTTGTATTCCTCAAAGTAATTCGCATCTACTTCTTTAGTAGCAGAAAAGAAACAGGTTCAAAGACAAAGCATTAGGTTAGGTTTAAAATACAAATATTTGAAGTTCAGTACAAAGATCATTTGTAGTCTTAAGAAAATATAAATAATGTACATGCATACTCTTGAAGTGAAAAAGTATCAAGCATCTTATTTAAAAAATAAAGCAACAGATGTTATTATAAAACTTGAGGTAACATCCCTCACCATCTCCACTATTAATAAAGAAAAACCAGTTCTTGAATGTCAAAGTCTCAAAGGATATGGAGTATACTTAAAGATGTGTTGTGTTTAGCAGGAAATTATACCAGAGTACAGTCTGTTACTATACTAACTTAAGACTTCAAACTTCATTTCTTTGGTTTGTGCAATCTTTAGCTATTCAAAATTACTGACATATAATTAACAAGACCAAACATCTTAATGTATATCTTAAGCAGACTTCTGCAATGTCACCAAAAGCTACTTTTGTCATTCGCATTTCTTCTCCTGTGCTCTGACACATTTTGCTTTTATTTACTTACCTGGTTATAAGTGCACCATTTAATTAAGCTAGATAAGATTTCCTTACTTAAATATATCTTACTTGAATTGTTACACTGCTTTTGCAAAACTATGTATCCATTAGGAAACAAGAGATATACTTAATGGTAGAAGTAGTAAGGGGGATAACATTCAAATAAAATATTTGCAGTTCAAAAAGTATTAAGATCTCTTCTGGTCTAATAAGAGAAGTTCTAATGAGCTAGGGAAGAAAATATAGAATGTCAGAACACCATGTAACAGGACCCCCCTAGTGAAATTACCTGCAGTCACTATATTTAAATATCAAAAAGTAAAAACGTCTAATAAATTTTATTATTTTGGGGATGCAAGTTATAGACGATGGTCCCGGTGCTACTCTGGAAAGTTATCTTTAAAAGTGATATTAGCTGTTCTTGTATAGCAGACATACTAATGTCCAAGAACATTTCAACCTTTATCATCCTGCGCAATGTAAGATTTTCGTCCTAGTAAATCAATGGACTTATGCTGTATTCTACTGAAGGAAAAGGAGTCTTCTGAACAGGCAATATGAAAATGTATCTAATTTTAATTCCATCTGGAAATCAAAATTAGGAAATAATCTTTTGTAAATGTGTACAGGTTCTGTAAGGGCTTTTTTGCGTCCTCAGTTTCTATCACAGAAAGCAAACAGGTCAGTGGAACTTTGCTATAAAGCTCCAGCAAGAATTAAGTACATCCATTCAGAAAATGCAAAATAATATTTACTTCATGGAAGACCAAACAAATGGTCTTGAAATTGCATCAGGATAGAGATGGCGCTACTAGTTACCAGTTCAATTACAGTCTGTAGGCCAAACTAGACCAATCACAGAGTGCAATACCTGGATAAAAAAAATGGTTGTTAAGATAAGGACACAGGTAACTGCAAGATCAGTTGCCACAAATACAGCATTTATTACTCAAAAAAAAAAAAAAAGAGCTTCTGTAACTGTGGTTGAAAATTCAAGTTAACAAAAACCGAAGCGTGTGATATTGGCTTCGTACCTATTCTTAATTTAACTCCACAGAAATCAGCTGAATTAACCAACACATTTTTACACAATATAACACAAATAACTCATGTAAAAAAAAAAACATTTTATTATGTACATTTAGGGATTAAAGTTAATTTAGATAGATACAGTTTTTCCCTCTTCAGTTCCATCTTTCGTCACACTATCTCCTCCTGCTTCCAAGTATCTTTCTTCAGTGACCTGCAGAAACATATTGACTTTGTTATTTTTTTAAACATGATTTAGTTCTCCTTCACCCTGGAACTCCCCTTATACTGTTATTATAGCAAGAATGGACAGTCTGGACATGTGTAGAATGGACAGTATAGCACTGTCCCCAAAATTAACCTGAATTCGAAGCATCTTCATGCTACTTTTCTGTTAAATTTGTTTGGACTAGCCTCTGAGCACATCCTTGGTTAACTGATTTCAGAAGACAAACAATGTATTTTCTACTTTCTGTTGCCACATGGGTAAAATATTTGATTTGAAGGTTCTGAAACTTTTGTTACGTAATTCTTACCAAGTTCCATTACATTTTGCCATGCCTTGAAAGAGTCTCTGGTTACATGTGGTATATGATATTTTACAGTTCCATTTAGCTTACAAACTTGCTATTTTGCATTTATTCAATCAGTGTAAAGCTTCTCTCAGATGACTCCACTTCAACTATTTGTCTGATGAGAAAGTTTCCTGAGAACATTCACCCATTTCTATGTAGATTTTAAACATGGAAAAAAGATGCACCTGGTTTTTGATACGTTTAGTTTATTGAAAAAGTTTTTCCTTTTACCTCCAGTAACTTCTGCCTAGATTCACCCAGTGGTACTAGCTTTCAACCCTGCATTTACTTACAAAAAACATGGTTGCTTGTGTTCTCTTACACATGTGGCAGAAAACTTCTACTTAAATTTATCCAGATATCTAGATAAGCCTAAATACATTATTCCAGTTTGAGGGTTTTTTTCCTTATTCCACGTTCACAATTAAAACAGAAAAAATAAATTTTACATATACATTATGCCAACATTAATTCTAGTGATGAAACTGAGAAATTCTAATATAAAGTGATAATTACTTAATGACAGCTTAGACTGGCTATTATAAGAAGCGTGTGGAATTCTTACAAGCAGACATCTTCAGTGTCATAGATGGCAAAACACTGATATAATTTGCTCTGGGTTCTTTGGAATAGTACAATTATGTCAATTAAATACCGTATGCTTCTCTTAAACGGTAGAATGCATTTTAATACCCAAAAGACAACAACAACAAAAAAACACTATGCCCTCTACTACAAAGTTGCATCCAGCTTTCTTTACCTGTTATCCTCTATCTAGGATTCCTTCCTTAAAGGCATGTTCTTGAAGATATTACCCTTCTCTAATCATTCAAATCCTACACTATGGCATTGTATCTTCATATTTGGTAAGGTATACTTCACCACTGATTAGACTTACCAGTCTCTTAGACCTTTCCAGCAATTTGTGCCACACAGTGTGGTGAGCCTGTATTTAACGACATTGAATGACGTTACTGTAGGCAAAAAAGTTATTGTAGAATAGATTCTGACTGACATATACAAGTGATGGCACACGAACATAACAATCCTTAATTCAGAAATCACTCTTTATGGTTCAAGTGTCCAATTTGCCCATGTCACTTTAGAGGAATAAAGAAAACTTGAATCAATGTTTGCTGATCGCATGTATTTATTGTACATTACGGAATCACTGAGGAGCTAATGAGCAAAAAAAGGGAATTAAAATGAGGGAGGGATAAGGAAGGGTGCATGAAGCAGAGGCAAGGAACCCAGCGCCCACTTGTCCCTTAAACCCCCTTGCTGTAGGTTACAGCACATGTTCTAGACCACAGGCCAAAGTCATGCAAGTTAATAGGAGGGGGAAGAAAATATTCTCCTGCCCCCACCTACAGCTCTGCAAAGCTATTGTTCAAGACAGATTACTGCTAGAATTTTATGATATGACAGAATTTATACTCCTGGTAACTGATGAGTTCTACTTTTTCCTGAATCTAAATAAACATCAGCAGGCAAGGTAAACGATTAGCAGGCATGTGCAATTAAAAAGAAAAAAAAAAAATCCACACACCAGACAACTAAAACCACACTTTCAATACTGGGCTCTCTGATGCACTTTTGAAGTACTGATTTCACATTCAAAATAGTTCCCAGGAAAATGGACCTCAAATAACTAATGCAGTCATCATCCTAGGCCTTCACCTTCTATTATGGCTCACATCACCTCTAACTTATGTGAACATAGCACAGTGTACAACAAAGTTCTGAAAACAGGCCAAGTGCCCTTAACTAAAAACAAACAAAACAACCACCACCAAAAAAAAAACCACACCAAACAACTAACCAGCCACACACACTGTAGAAAATAGATTAGTTACCTTTAAATGGATTGGCAAGGACACACCCTGGAACCTCCTTATCATTTCAGATTGGTTAGTCTGAAGATTATGGGCTGCTGTTATCTCATACTCGTAACAGAAACTTGTCCTTGGAATGTGAGGGCCTTCACTAACATCTACAAAGTCTCCAAACCTGATGGGAGCCAAAAAAAACCAAAATAAAACAAAAAAGCATACCCTATGACAAAAAAATATATATATTCTAGTAGAATTACAAGCTTACCTATTTGTTTTCATTTTTGATTAGCTAATTCTCATCTATAGAACACTGTAAAAATGACAAAAGGAAATGCACACAAATTCCAAACCAATTCTAGACAAGTCCCCAGGTCATCATTTCTAGCTTGCTGCAGCAGAGCTTCTTAAACTAATTTAGAAAATTCATACCTTAAGTCCAGAAAAAGATCCTAGGCTTACCCAAATCTTTGAAGCCACTGTTGGCTTTCTAGTGGTTTAACACTATTATACATCAGAGAAAGATTTGTCTCCAAGATCAAACAGTGTACTGCTGGAAATGTTTATCACCTGCACAGGCCTTTCTTTTTCATGTCTTGGAAAAAATTGCAAAACAATTAAAAAAAGGTGAGACAAAAGGAAGACATAACAAAAGAATCTTTGGAACATACTCTTCTACCAGGAATTAATTGTTAAGCCCATTTTCCTTCCTACTCAAACTAGACAGTGGTAGGATGGGAAGAAGGTGTGAAGAACAGATATAACACTGTTTTAAAATTTAAAAAGCCATCACTGCAAAGACATCTTTTCATCCACAGAGAAGATGATTCCAAAAATCAAATGGAAAGCAATTCAGACACCTAGACAACTGGTATCTTACACGATCCTAAGCTAGGCAAAAATCCCTTTATTATACCCAAGCCAGAACAAGATTCTTGCCTCCAGCCTAAGAATTTTACATCTTACACTGCATCCCAGGAGCCAGTTCCATTCTCCTCTCCAACACTACAGGGCAGTAGCTTGCCATTTAGTCCATTTAGTTAAAACTTGACAACTTCGGCAAAAAAAAGAAAAAAAAAAAATCTACTAGATAACGCTAGCACTGGTTTGTTAAACAAGTATTTGACATGTATTTCATTTACACCATCAAGCTCTAGGGATTTAGAGTTTAAATAAAAGCATTCAAAGTAGTAAGACTTCCTAGCACTTACCATGTTTATTAATTACAAAAATTTAAAAACTTAGTGAGAGTCATCAAGTGTTAGCTATCGGAAAAATCACGGCTACATAACAAAAACTTAGGACAAGTACAGACAGTAACAAATATAAACAATTTTTAAATTTAAAAATTCGTCACAAGCAACTTACCTTTCTCACTTGCAGATACTACTTGCAATATAATTAAATCTTTTAGTGAATCATTACAGAATGGAACTTTAGTTTTGCTCACCTATGTAACATTACAATTCCTTCAGTGTTCTGTGAAGCTTTCTCTTTTATCATCTCCATTTTGTATCTGAACAAGACAAAAAAAGGATTTAAAAAAATCCTCATCTTCGACACGTAATTCTTATGAGAATACTTAAGGATCTTTATATAGAGCATTTTTTAAAATCATGTTCACACTTAGGTGAGCTTGGAAGCAGTTTTAAATTCTTAATTTCATATTCCAATACATATTGACATGTTTCATAAAGCACACGTTACAGGAGGACCATGCTCTCTCAATATTTATTCAGAAAAATAAAAGGAAACTATTACTTCTAATAAAAATAAGAACTTTAAGTTGCATGTTAAGACTAGAAAACATCATCAAACCACCTAAACTGGTTCTATGCAATGTGTGGTCCCGAACAACTGGTAATAGGCAAGACAGCACAGAGTGGTCCAGGCTCTTTGTACATGCAGATACACGTACAACGCTTACAGCCTTTTCCATGAATTAGCTCCCAACTGCTGTCGATGCCTGCTACCCAACACAGTGAAGAGATAGTCTGTAGATCACATTAATAGTATGAGGATTATGGATCTAAAAATGCTAGTTACTTAACCACAAATTTATCATCACGAAAAATTCTGTTCTGGGTCACAAAATGATAAAACTATTTATCACTTCATCCCATCTCTCACCAATCACCAAAAAGCTGTGGACTGAGGAATTTTTCCCCAAAACACTGCTTAAGTAGTTTTTCAACTTAGAAGACTGGAGAAACAGTGTTTTGAGCTGACCTGCTTTTATAGCACAGGCCAGAGAACTTCACGCATTACTCCTCTGTAGAGCTCAGTAACTTTTCTCGACAAAGCACCCCTTCCAGCATGGCATCAAGCCTTCATTTGAAAATACCAAGAAATGAAAAATCCACGTTTCTTTGAATGTGAAAGCTTTTCAAAGGCTGACAGTAACTAGCATGCCGAGTTTAAGCACCAGAGTTCCTCTAAAACAGAACTAATGAAATCTTGAAGCTTTAATATTAAACTAACTTTCAATTTCTCACAACACCATATCCAGTAGAGGTGCTTGGTGCTGGTCTTTGAAGAGAAGATTTAAAAAAAAAAAAAAAAAAAAAGAGAGAGAGAGAGAGATGAGGTAGTATGACTACAATAGAAACATGCTTGGAGTAGTCAGAGAAGTACCTTCTTACTTCATCTGTCGTATCTTTTTTTTTTTTTTTTTTACTTAAATGAAACAACACAGATTTAATTGAATTTTTACGTGCCTTTCTAAAAGAAAGGCAAACTCAGACACTTACCTGTTATGCTGAAACATTTCACATGCTACTTTTGCTTCAACGTGCAGTGCTTCAAATGGCAGATCTTTATGAATTAGCTTACTGGCATCCCTTGTAAGAGAACGGAAGTTGTCCTAAAAAAAGGAATTTATACATACAAGACTTTTACCCCTGTTTCTCAGCCATACTTAATAGACAAAGCATAGGGAAACATTAACTAGTACTCAAAGCAGTCAGCATGATCTACTATAGATCCTAAATGTAAGAGCATTGCAATACAGTTAAAACTCTTAATATTTATCAGCTACATGGTGCTAAAGATCATCACTGTTTAAACAGACTGATTCAATGTCCATTGCACTGCATGTCAATGCAGGCCCATTTTTCCATCAGGCCCAACATATATTCATTAAACTTCTCATGTTCTCCCAGCCTGATATGGGCACACATAAATGAATACTTAACACTAGCAAGTTTATATATCTCACTTCCCAAAGAGTCATGATTCCATTTACAAATGACCTCTATTGGAAGATGGAAAAAGAAAAAAAGTACTGAATAAGAAATAAATAGAAAATGATTGCCCTGATCCAGACACCAAAGCTTTATATACTCAGATTCGTCAATAAATAAGAAGGTGTTATTCGGAGAGACTACGCGTCACATCACTTCAAAATTATTCCAAACTAATTCAGTTTACCTACAAGATCATATTGAAGAAAAATTCTGCATTTTATTAACACTGTTTTGTTAGCCATGCATACTTCTCTCGACACGTGGACATGAGAACAAGAATAGGCACCAGGCAAGTAAAATATTCATGATCACACAGACCACTAAACAGTTATGAGACTTAAAAGTTTGTAGATCATGACATTTACTGAAGAGCATAAAATACAAACTATTAAAGAGCTTCAACTGAATGCGTTCACAGGTCTCTTAAACAATAAACTGATTTTGCAGTAAAGCACCAAAAAATGCTCAAAATATACAAGTTATACACATGTTTACTTTCAGAAGGTTCTGCTTATGTAAAGACTATAAGCCTGTGGCTGCATCTACATTACCAAGTAAGCATGACCTATAAGCCTGTGGCTGCATCTACATTAGTCATGCTTACTTGGTAAAGAAGGGCAGATCTGTATAGAAACACAGACGGCACTGAGGTTTTTGGAATTTTATTTCCAACTAGAGCTAATCCAGTCCCATAGACCTAAAATCCCTAAGTATTGGGAGCACATCTCTTGATTTAATTTCATCTGAAAGGAATCCAGTTTGCATGCTCTGAGATCACACTGCAATGACAGCCAATATGTGCTAAGTGTGGCGATTAGCTTCCAAAGCATATTCCTGATCTAAAATAAAATACTAGTGTAGATATACCCTCTGATACGAAAAAATTCCAAGTTCTCCTGCCAAAAAAATCAAAAACTTCCGACAAGGAAGTAACTTTTCAAATAAGAAGTCATTGTGCTTACCTTTGTTGGTTTCCAGTCATTGAGTCTACTGTCCAAAACTACATCATAGCAGAAAGCTCCAGAGATAACTGCAATTCCAATTGTAAAGAGAAAAAAGGAAAAAAAAAAAGTTTGTAATGTATTTCACTGCCACAATACAAATATTTTTCCAAATATATCAAAATGAATGAGAAAAATGGAACGATCCTCCCCTCCCACCAAAAAATCCATCATAAAATGCAAGTTTTCAGTTGTGATTATAGATCCAAATGGTAGATTAAAATTGTATCATTTTCATTTCATTGCATGAAAAATATTTATTCCAAACTAGTTTTAGTTTAATGATGGCATAATATACATCCACATAAAACAAAAATAATAATCTATGCTGCTTCTCAAAACTCTCTCAATCTCTCAAACCTAGGAGGAAGGATAAAATCCCACTTTGAGAGCATTTCACATTTTTCCTTTTGTGTGAAACACAATAAAAGTAAAATTGCACTGTTCAGTTGTAAAGAGAAATTTTTGCTTAGAGACATCAGACAACATTAGGGCCAAAATAAAATATTTATCCATGACATAGGCAGCAGGAACCGAAATTTCTGAAGTAGCGTAAGATTTATTTATTCAGTTACCTATACTTGTATATTTATTTTGTTATCGTCATCTTAAAAATCAAGCTTATGAACCCAATAAACTCACACTATTTCTATATATCAACTAAAACCATATAATTCAGTAAACGTAAGATTACTTCAAACCCTGGTAGAACTGAAATACCCACTCTGTGCTTACCAGACAATCATGACAAATTCTGAAACTGCTAAAAAGGGCATCAGCAGTGATCAAATGACCAGCAACCAACCAGATTCTTATCCATCAGGTGGCCTAAGTAGTCAGGCTTTATTAGTCAAATAACCCCTCTTTTCTCTGTCTTCTCACTTTTGTAAATGTTAGATCAGATCACAGATAAGCAAAACTATTTGTACTTCAGTAATCTTCCAGCTTTGAGGTATATGTGGTAGTTTTTTTTTTTTAGCGACTCGGGTGCTCAGAAGATTGTGTGGAGAGTTATTAGGGCAAATTTCACAGAAATACATCACACCTTCTAAATACCTTATTTATGCTACTTTACAACAAAATGAATAAGTCCCTAAGTTACTAACTTAATCCACAAAGTCGAAAGTGCTCTGAAATCCAGTTACCACTCAGACCAACTTTCCATACCTTGACAAAGAAACTAATTTACAGTAGTCAGGTTGAATTCAAAGAAATCTAATATATCACACTACTCTTTTGATAATTAATCTTTCAATAGAACATCTAGGACTGCAGACTGTCTTGCTCTGCCCTCCCTTCTAATAATGTCAGGCTGAGTAAGAGTGCTGACATCGTCAAAGCACAGTGCAAAACTACTACTTCAGAAAGCTATTTGAATAAGTTGCAAGAGAATCCAGATTTAGTCCTCAGGATGCTGACTGACAGGGAACAACGGTTTAGGAAGAAAGACTATTGTGTTTTCTCCAGTCCATCCAGTCTCCTTCAGAACAGGCATGTATCTTAGCTGTTTATTTATAGGTCACTAAGTCAACACAGTTTAAAGCCCAACAAGATAATCCAATACAAATTCTGGGTTATTTGAATACACCCATCACACCTAAAGGCTAGGACAATAGCATTTAAGATACATATGAATGCTAAGTATCTTCAGTCATTGGAGAAGGAGCCTCTGATTTGTTTTGTAACACTACTTCCCAGACATGCACTTAAGCAGCAGCAAGAGACAAGACTGTCAATTATAAAACATTTGTATCACCTGGTACTTCTGGAGCTTTAATCAGATTCACTGAGTACTCATCTTTGAAAGCTCGTTTTAACACACATGCCATGATCATGGCACAGGAACGCCAATAGGCCTGTAAAGAGAATTTCAAAACACAGATTCATTACCTAGAAGCCAACAACGCATACCGGACAGAAATTAGCTATTTATTGCAGAAGAACGTCAACATTTAAACAGAATTAGGCACAGACCTACCATTGACTCAAGCATTGCATACTTTTTAATTATCTCCAAAGAAAGTCTGAATTCTAATAGCAATCGACCAAAATCAAAACTGCACTTAAAATACCAGATGTTTCCCCAGAGATATTTAAACCTGAAATCATAGAATTATACAACAATATAAGTTGAAAGAGGTCTCCGTACACTACCTAGCCCAATACTCTGGTCCAATTAACAACCACCACGATGTACAAACCAACAGTTAAAAATATCTAAACCTTCATGACAACAAAACTCAAGGAAGCAGATGGACATGGAACTGAAAGAGGCGTGCAGGCTCTCGTGATCATAATCAGAGTCACCTGCAATTGTGTACGATATAGACTCACCTTGTTTACTTCGTCTGGATCTTCATCTTTGAAAGTAAGGAACTGAATTTCACATGATTTGGTCAAGGGTCTATACATATCCCAAACTTCGCCATCCACAAGAGCTAGTACTGATTTCTCACAATGCCATTCACTTAAGTCTAAAGAAAGGGACAAAAAAAGTTATACTGTTATTAACATTACTTCTCAAAGTCAGCAGTTTAGGCCCCTGCATTTGTAACAACAAATTTTAAGTTTTACTTTTGCAAAGGACTAGGAGGATAAGCTGTAACAGAAACTAAAAAGATTAGCTCAGCTCCTGCTGAGTTACAGATGCATTTTAAACTTACCAAATATAAATATTCTGACTGCATGACAATTATCTTGGTCACTAAAATAACAACATTAACATTTCAAATATGGATGGTAAATACTTAATTGGCAGCATAACTCTGATCACCAGCAGCGCAACCTTAGTTTGAGTCCGTTCACTTACGCATGGCACAATTGTATGGAGTAGACAAAGCTTTGTTCATTATAAAAACACTGCCGGGGTGAGATTTTCCAGTGTATTTTACTTCAATCTTCTCAATTCGTGGATAAAGAGATAACTGTCTCTCTTTCTCTTTGGTGAAGAGTTCATTACGCATGCGAATAATTTCATCTGAGGTCAGTCGAGGAGCCGACGGTGTGGAGATGAACCCTGGTGAAAGAAAGGGTTTAAAAAACAAGCAGTACAGAGTTTCCAAAGCCCCTCGTAAGAAACGAATTAGCTTCTTCCCTCGAAAGGAAAACCCGGCGTTGCGCTAGTAACCTAAACGTCAGCCTGAACACGCGCCGAGGCGAGCGTTTCCGCCGCTCTCGCTGCCAACCCGCTCCCGGTGACTGCAGCGTTTGCGCCAAGCCACAACAAAAAGCTCTAGAAGAACGAAAGCTTAAATACGTCCTCCGGCTTATAGGGGCTTCGGCGCACCTCCCACCTCGGGCACGTCAACTACCAGCACCGACTGTGTCCGTATGCCTGTCTAAAGCGGGGCGGGGGGGAACGGTCGGAAACGCCGCCAGCTGGGCGCGCGCTCCGGCCTCGCGCGAGCCGCGCCA